CTCTATAGCTTGGAAACTTACTAATAAGTTAGGGAAACAAAGAATATTTATAAACTAGTTGCAAATTTGGATTATTTACATCAAATAAGAAATGAACGTTATAATAACTCAGTGTTTGGAAAGTCCAACAAGAGCTAGGTGGACAGGCTAGGTTTCGGTAGAAGGGCCATAAGCTGGGTACTAAAAGAAGTCAGCTTAATGATGCAAAGCACAGAGAACACAAATTATTCTCTGCTGTTTGGACATTTCTATCTTATAGTAGTTAGGTTTTAAGTTATAAGTGGACTGAACCATATCAAAAGAGATATTACCTAAAGAGACATTCAATAAGCAGCTAGCATCAGGCTATTAACAGTTTCTCTTGAGAAACAAAGATAAAAGAAATCACATTCTAAAAAGCATTCTCAAAAATCTCAAAGGAGGCAGTTTAAAGAAGGAGCGTTGATGCGTGTCACCTCCTAGCTCCCCAGGTTAGTGACAAGGAGCTTCAAGATTTCCTTGGTGAGAGCTATGGTAACGATGGCCCATGCCTTCCAGAGAGAAGGGTAGAAGGAGCTTGTGCTATGCCTAAAGTTTAGGGAAAAGGCTTTGAGGGAACCACCTGAAGACAATACTGACTTGGTACCTAATTCATTACTGCAAAATCTCTGAAGGATCAGAAGCTGGAAGAAAAGTCAAGAGAGATGGCTGAATTGGGACCACCACCAGAGTTTATGCAAAGAATGAGTGGCCCCCCTCTGGACCCAGTGAGGGTCTTACGGGAGAGAGACAGAATAAGCAATGTTGAAGTACATGGGTCCATCCAAGAGAGTAACTTGGAGCTTGAAGAGATCTCTGCAAAAGGAAGATGATGGTACTACCAGCTGCATGAGGCTAAGGAAGGAGCAATAACCCAGAATACAGATGCACTGCCATCATCAAGGAATCTGAGGTGAAAATCTCAATCAACTGTGGTGAGAGCTGGAAGATCTATAAGTAAAAGAACAAGCTTTAAACATCTGCCAAGGCTATAAGAACACTGAACTCAATTACCATCTACCTTCAAAGTTAAAGTTTTTTGCTCCTCTTTCCTCTCTTCCCTTCTTTCTTGCCCAACATGAGACAGGTCAGAAACCAGGACTGGCAAGACAAAAGAGGAACAGCAGAAAAGCCAGGTCAGAAGAGAAAAAAAAAAAAACAGTGATGCCTTTCTCCCCCAGTTACTGGCTTCCTCCCGCCTCCCCACCCCCACCTTGGAGCAGACAGAGCTAGAGCTGGCCTGGGGCAGAAGCTTCATTTTTAATTCAGGTTTGGTCAGTGGATTTTATTTATTAGCACTGGACATTTTAATAATGAAACTGAATTTTTTATGACTTAGTAACTGGAGCACAATTTGTATTATCTAAGAGCTATCAGAAAAGTTTGTCCATCCATGGCAGAGGGGGAACCAGCTTCACAGAGTCAACTGAAAGGGACAAAAAGGGGATAAAATGAGGGGAAGGAGGGGATAAACTGAAAGTGACAAAATAAAACTGTTTGTAGTTACGTCCCACAAGTCATGCTTTCCAAGCTAATGTACTCAAGGGTCAACACAGTGGGGAGTACAGAATTACACAAGGGTGGTTTTGTAAAACTGAATCTACCCAGCTTCTCTGTCCGTCCTGAGATCATTCATCCATTACCAGTTCCAGAAAGTTCCAACAATGTGACTCAAGAATCTATTACACATTCTTACCTGACATGAGTGACCTAAATATGATCCACCCCCTTTAAAAGACAAAGACTATTTGCTCCCTGCTATATCTCTAACACTTAGCAAAGTCTCCCTTACATAAAAGGTAATTAAAGAACTTCTGTTCTCCCCACTGTGAGAAGGCTCCTGTTTTATACTCTTAATAAACAGAATGCATAGATACGCACACAGCCCACACTCCCTTTTAATTAGTTAATAGTATATGGAGTCATACTATATGCAAAATTATACCCAGAATACTTTCACCTTACGCTTCCATAGCCAGTCTAATCTCTGAAACACGCACAGTATCTTTCCAGTACTATTTCACAACAATATAGAATGTGAAGTCTTTACAACTCAACATTCAAATACTAGAAAAAATACTATATACATTTTTAAAGAGTGCAGCAGAAAGCTGTCAAAATAAAGATAATGGTATATGTGTATGCAAGCAGAATATTTTTAAAATCTATCAGCCATATTTCAATAGTACCCTGTTGGTACGTCTTTTCAGGGACAGCCTGATTAAGAGCTTACTATGTGCCACTACAACTCTCTAAATTAGGTCGGTCACATCATCCCTATTTTAAGATTAGGAAACTGAGGATCAGGGTTTAGTGATCTAATTGAGGTTAACACTACTACTAAGCTGTGAAGCAGGAGTTCAAACTCAAGACAGTGTGTCTGATTCCCAAAGCATGCTCTTAATTCTACTGCTATGACAATGCAGAGGAGCTGACTGTTATTGTCTCCTTTCCAAAAAATATAAAGCCCTATTTTAATGACTGTCTTTGTAAAAGGAAACATCCAATTCTGAAATATAAGCTACTGTCAAATTCCAACCATAAAGTCAGTAACATACCTCTGCTGAAATGCATTTACTAATATACTCTTCATGACTGAAAATTCTATATAGCAGACCCTGGTAATGTTTGTTTCTTCTTCTCTCTCTCTTTCTCTCTCCCTACCTCTATCTTTATTTCTCTCTTTTATCCATGTACACATGATACTGTGCTTGTGGTACAGTATTTATAATAAGTGCATATAACTGGGAAATTTGACGATTTCTAAAATGGTACACAAGGCAAGCAGGTCCTCTTGTGTGTATTCAGAAACTGAAGGAAGCTAACTGCTAATCAGTGCTATTGTCAGACTCTTAGTAAACAGAGGCAAGCTACACGAGTGGCAGAATCCGCAGCTATTTCAGCACAGTCAACAGTAAACACTGGTTACCTGGCATGATTTTTGCCACCACCCCATCCCCTAAGCCCCACACTGTCCTGAGAACATTAGGTAATGTCTGTAAACATGTTTATTGTCACAACAATGTGGGGAGAGATTGGGGGGCTACTGGCATCCACTGGGTAGTGCAGGATCTGCTAAACATCCTATAGCGCACAGGGCAGCCCACCAATGAGGAATTATCCCATCCAAAATGTCAGCAGTGTAACATTTAGAAATCCTGATATACAGGATTAAATGTCTGCGAAACTTAGCAGCGGGGATGGTAAGAGTGTTGAGAAACTGGAACTACAAACAGTAACTGGAGAGTCCAAGCAATACTCGGCAAGGATTAGGTGCGGCACCCCACTGGTGAGGGGGGCACTGGCAGGGGAACAGCCTCCCGCTGTCTCATTAGATTTAAGGAAGAAAGCAGAGAGAAAGTGAGAACACGTTCCTCCCTCCACCAGTGGTGTTGAGTTGTTTGATTCTGATGAAGCAGCAGGAGATGTGAAAAGCATAGATAGAAAGGGAGAAACTTCATGAAGAGAAGAGAAACAATTTTTATTAAAGAGTACACAGTCCCACCAGGAATACAGAGTTTCTGCTCTTTACCGGAGGGCTCTCAAGGGTTACGATCTAAAAGTAGACCAGTGCCTGTCCACAACAGAGAAAATCAGAATTAGTAAATATTCATGTGTTTCTTTCTGGAAGCACATTCTGAAGATCAAACACCAGTGCAGGAAGCCTGGCTGTTAGCCCCCAAGTGTGTAAATGTTCTGTCATTGTTTCTTAGACTTTTCCTTCCTCTGAGCATAAGAACCCGCTGTCACAAGAAAGAAACAGTAAAAACTGGACAGGCGGCAACCTCCCGGATGGTGCTGACAAAGCAAAAACAAAAAGAGATCCACCAAGCGTTGCCTCGATGTGCACAGTTTAGTTGTACTGCCTTCTACTTGCACCTCTTTTTTCGCGCTTCCTTTAGTTCTGTCGGTGTTCAGTCCTTTGTTTCTTTCTACCTCCCATCAATTACATCTCTTTCTTAAAATCGTTTTACCTTTGGCTCCCGTTTCCTCCCCTTCCTAACGTCTTAACTCACGGTCTCAAAAGTGCCAGTGAGCAGTGACACTATACAATGAGAATTCTGGAGTTGGTCGGACTTCACAGGTTGTCTGGTAGCTGCCCCCACACTGCCTACTTCTCCTCAGCCTTCCCTCCCCAGAGGTGTTTAGCAGGCTCAGCTTCGTCACCTGCAAGTCGCTCATCTCCACTAACTTTCAGAAACCACACATCACTTCTCCCTTAAATGAGCACCGCTGGATTGCTGCTGAGATCTCAACAGAACGATACAATCCAGGTGAACTGCTCTTGATGCATCAACTTCCTCATTATCAACGTTTACTAAGTTGGGGGGGGGGGTCACTAACTCAGGGACCATCCCATATGACGGCTGACCAAATCTGCAGGCTATTTTTCTTTGAAAATTAATCTTTTGCTTGGCTCAAACATTTAGCTGAACGCAGACACCCGCTGATTCATCTAATAAGCTTTGTTTGACATTTTGTCAGGATGAGGAATGACTCATTAAATCTCCAAAACGGCTCGCAAGGTATGTTTTGTCCTCCTACGTTCCAGAGAATAATCTCAGCAAGTTCATTCTCCCCTTACCGACGTACCCAGTGCCAGATACTGATGAATTAGGAGGGTTCCAGGTCGTGTAAGGTAAATACGGTACCGTACTTCCTAGGGTCCGGGAGTGTGATGCCCCACGGAGCCCCGGCAGATGCCCGAGGCACCCGGCTTCCTTACTGTGGAATCAAGGAAGTAAATCCTACTTCGTTCAGGGCCGGCTCCCCAGGTAGGGCCAAGCGGGGTAGGAGCCGCACCCTCAGGCGCACCACTGTGCCTTCCAGCGGCAGCCCCTGCCGCCAGCGCCTCCCAAGTTTGGCGGGTTCGGAGCGGAGTCGCGGCTGTTGCTTCTCCGAGCAGTCCCCGTTCCTCCCGCTCGACCGGACAGCAGGTGAGCCCGCGCGGCCGGCCCGCCCGCCGCCGCCGCCGCCCTTACCTTGGTGAGCTGTGCGATTTTCTTGCTCATTTTCAGGTGCATGTCCTGGCTGTAGTCCACGCCGTGCCCGGCCAGCTGCGTGGCGGCAGGCGAGGGCGCGAATTTGGCAGCCGAGCCGCTGTGGTAGTGTTGCTGCCAGCTCATGCCCGGGGTCGCCATCTTCCCGACAGACCCCGGCCGGGGCACCTGTGCCCGCGCCCGTCCGGAGGCCCGCGGAGCACCGACGTCTGGGAGGCGACAGCCGGGGAGGCCGCGTCCCGACCCGCGCCCCGGCGCCCCCCGGCCGCGACCGCAAGAGCCCCCAGACCCACGACCCTTCTGTCACCCGCTTCTAAGGACGGGGCGGTCCCATCAGCCCGAGGCCGCGGGCGACACCGGCGCGGGGCGGACGCACGGGCCCGGTCTGCTTTCGCCCGCCCCGCAGCCCGCGCCTGGCGAAGGCGTCGTGGGCAGCAAAGCTCCGGGGTCCCGCTCGCAGCCCGCACCCGGGGACTCGGCGGGACTGCTGCCGCCGGGGCTGCGGAGGCAGGAGGAGACGGGGCGGGCTGCAGGACGGGAGGCGGGGACGTGGGAGCCGCGGAGCCGCCGTTACCAGGGCGCGCGGGGACGGCGACGTCATTTCCCCGCAGCCAAGCTCCGCCCCGCGCCGCCGCCGCCGCCAGCCCCGCAGCCCCGCAGCCCCGCAGCCCCGCGGCAGGTGCGGGCGCCCAGCAACAGGCGCGCTAGGACCGCGCAGCCGAGGACTGCTGCCTGCGGCTGGTGTCTCCGGCCCGGGTGTGGGTCATGATCTCGGAGAGGCTAGCTAATGGCCTGACGTAAAAATCCCGGCGGGAGAGGATGGAGCCGTGGTCACCTTGGATTCTCAGAACGCGCGCTGGCTTCCAGAACCTTGCCATGTGCATCCTCGTTCCCCAGGAGGAGCCGGAGCTCACACTCACTTCCCTTCTAGTGATGCTACTGTGGGGAAATAGCGGGCAGTCAAGGAACCCCTGACATCGCTTTTTCTTCCAAATTCTCACAATGCCTTGGGGCCCTGTACAGTTTTCCAAGCCCCTTTCAGTCATTCAATACTATCTGCATATGTACAAAGGGAACACCTTTCCTTAGTCAATGGGTATATCCCTGCACCTCTACTTTACCCAGGCTATGGCCCCTGCCCCAACGTGGGAGACCCCGAGGAGGCTGCTGGCTTTGGATTGGTCCAGCTCTAGCCCTTGTGGCGATTTGGGGAGTGAACCAGAGGAAGGAAGAAATTTTTCTCTTTCTCTCCTTCTCTCTGTAACTCTACCTCTCAAATAAATAAATAAAATATTTTTAAAAAATCCAGCGAAGGGGCAGACTTTGTGCACAATGAATTAGGATGCCCACATCATTCCGATGTTGGTTTGAATCCCGGTTACCCTGCTTCTGGTGCAGCTCTCTGCTAAAGGGCCTGAGAAGCAGCAGAAGACAATGCAAGTGTTTTTTCCCGGGCCACCTACATGGGAGATCAGATAGAGTTCCTGGCTCCCGGCTTCCGACTGGCCTACCCTTGGCCGTTGACCATTTTTGGTGGTGAACCAGCAGATGGAGGATCTCTTTCTCTCTTCCATTCTCTCTGTCACTCTGCCTTTCAAGTAAATAAATCCTCTTTTTTTTTTAATCCAGCAAAGAAGATGCACAATGGGAGAGGAAAGGCAAGAAATCTTTATTTATTACCTGCTTCTCTAACGAGACTCCTCACACAGAGATGTGTTTTAAATGCTTCTGTGTTCCAGGTGCTGAGGCTGCAGCGATGACCGAACATCTGTCTCTGTCCAGAAGAAGCCAGCAGCCTAGTGCAGAAGACAGAGTAGTAAAGAATAAGGTGCAGTGCAGCGTGCTGAGTGTCAGAACTCCAGGAGGGGAACTTGTCCTAGTCTTAGAGAAGACTTCACACACACAGAATGGTAATGCTTGAATGTACTCCTGCAGGATGGGTTTTCTACATGGAGGCAGTTGGGAAGGCAGGCTCCAGCTCTGAGGACAGAAACATTAATGCCCTGCAGATGAGAGAACATGACCTGGTTAGGGTAAGATGTGGCTAGAGCTAAGTTTGGGTGGGATGTCAGAATATGAGGCAGAACAGGTGTCAAGTTTACTGCTAGAGGGGCAACTTATATGCTTTGACAATGGGATTGGGACTCTATTCTGATGGCAATCATGAGCCACTGAAGGGTTTGAAGCAGGCCCATGAAATAATCAGACTTGTATTTTAGTCACATAATTCTTGTTACTGTGAGAAGTGGATTACAGGCCGGCGCCGCGGCTCACTAGGCTAATCCTCTGCCTTGCGGCGCCGGCACACCGGGTTCTAGTCCCGGTCGGGGCGCCAGATTCTGTCCCGGTTGCCCCTCTTCCAGGCCAGCTCTCTGCTGTGGCCAGGGAGTGCAGTGGAGGTTGGCCCAAGTCCTTGGGTCCTGCACCCCATGGGAGACCAGGAGAAGCACCTGGCTCCTGCCATCGGATCAGCGCGGTGCGCTGGCCACAGCGCGCTGGCCGCGGCAGCCATTGGAGGGTGAACCAACAGTAAAGAAAGACCTTTCTCTCTGTCTCTCTCTCTCACTGTCCACTCTGCCTGTCAAAAAATAAAAATAAAAAAAAATAAAAAAATTAAAAAAAAGAGAAGTGGATTACAGAGGCAACTTCATATAGACAATATGGCCACTTAAAAAGCTCTTGGACTTACCCAGGTGAGAGTCATTGAATTACTAATCTAAAACATTTCAATGAGAATAGAAAGTTATTGATATGAAACATACATAAAGTAAAACAGGACATTGGGGCTGAAAAAGTGAGAGCAGCCGAGGGTTCCCTGTGAGACAAAAAATAGAGAAGGAGGGACAGGTTAGGGGAGATTATGCATTCAGTGCAGAACACATTAACATTTGAGATCCCTGTGAACATCTATGTAGAGATGTTCAGTTGCATAAAAGATAGAATAGGAGAGACAAGACAGTAATCAAATTAGAATACAACTGGGGAAGGTAAAAAAAATGCTTTCAACAGGAGACTAGAAGCCCTGAATATGTGAAAAAGACACATCATTCTCAATAGATTGTCATCTGTAACATTCTAGGACTTCTCGTTAAGAAAACATCATAACCCGTGGAGGGAAGCATCAGGTCCAAAAAAACAATCCCCAAGAAATGGGCTAATAGTAATGCAGAACTTTGGCACAGCAGAGGCAGAGGCTGGTCCAGAGGAACAGTCACCAAAATCAGATAATGAACTAGAAGTGGAAAAAAATTCTTGACTGTTAGAACTGGGACAGAACCTCAAGTTCAAACCTCATGTTTGTTTTATTTATTTATTTATTTATTTATTTGCCAGGTAGAGTAACAGACAGTGAGAGAGAGAGACATAGAGAAAGGTCTTCCTTCCGCTGGTTCACTCTCTAAATGGCCTCAGCGGCCGGAGCTGTGCCGATCCAAAGCCAGGAACCAGGAGCCAGGAGCTTTTTCTGGGTCTCCCATGAAGGTGCAGGGGCCCAAGCACTTGGGCCATCCTCAACTGCCCATCCCAGGCCATAGCAGAGAGCTGGACTGGAAGAGAATCATTCGGGACTAGAACTGGCACCCACATGGGATTCTAGCACCACAGGTGGAGGATTAACCTAGTGCGCCATGGCACCGGCCCCTCAAACCTCATGTTTTGTACACACAAATATACATGTAGTTCAAGAAATATTTCTGCACCAAAATAAATTTATCTTTTAGTGCTATTTTCCATAAATATTTCAAAGTTTCCTAGAGAGAGAATGTTCTGACCTCCAAATGCCTGCAATGGTTGGGGCTGAACTTGAATCAAAGCCAGGAGCCAGGAGCCCAACTCAGGTCTGTCATGTGGTTGGAAGGACCCAATTACCCAATTACTTGAGCCATCACTGCTGCCTCCCAGGGTCTGCGTTAGTCAATCAGGAGATGGAGCCAGGGGGCAAACTTGGGTGCTTCAAATGTGAGACATGGGTATCTCAATCAGTACACTAAACTCCCACTCCAAGACCTAGATATTTGAAATCCCAGTCTTTCAGACTTAATAAACAAGAGTTTACAACCACTTACAGGGGAATATATTCTTTGTCTAGAAATGTTCTATCCTTCCGTATACTAGTGATGACTTTCATAATGGTTTAAACATATATTCTGAATAGTTAGAAATGGAGAAGGGATGAAGAAAACAATGGTGTTTGCAAAGGCTGATTAATGATGAAGCAAATGAAGCTTGTATGACTCCTTTTGGTAGGGGTTCTAGCAAGTGATACCATGGTTATAGAATTTAATAAAAAGTTATGAATGCCACATTTAGGGGGCTGGTGTTATGGTGTAGCAGGTAAAGCCACTGTCTCGATGCTGGCATCCCATATGGGCACTGATTGGTATCCCAGTTGCTCCACTTCCAATTCAGTTCCCTGTTAATGGCTTGGGGAAAGCAGCAGAAGATGGTCCAAGTGTTTGGACCCTTGCCAACTACATGGGAGACCTGAATGAAACTCCTGGCTCCTGGATTCAGCCTCGCCTAGTGCTGGTCATTTGAACCAAAAAATAGAAGATTATCTCTCTTACTCTCGGTCTTGCTCTTGTTCTTTCTCTCTCTTATTCTGGAAGGCAGAGTTACAGAGAGGCAGAGGCAGAGAGAAAGAGAGAGAGAGACAGAGAGACAGAGACAGAGACAGAGAGAGAGAGAGAGATCTTCCATCCGCTGGTTCACTCTCCAGATGGCTGCAATGGTCAGAGATGTGCTGATCCAAAGCCAGGAACCAGGAGCTTATTGTGAGTCTCCCACACAGGTGCAGGTGCCCAAAGGACTTGGGCATCTTCTACTGGTTTCCCAGGCCATAGCAGAGAGGATCGGAAGTGGAGTAGCAAGGTCTCAAACTGGTGCCCATATGGGATGCTGACACTGCAGGCAGCGTGCTTGATACGCCACAGTGCTGGTCCCAGTAGATCTTTTTTAAAATCATTTTTGTGTGTATTTTTTTCTAAAGTTTCCTATATTGTATACATTTCAGGCCACAGAAACCCTACATTAACCCCAGGCAGTACCACCTGAAGTTGAGAATTAAGATTGAGATGTGAGCTCAAAAAGTAATGAGGCAAGAGCTCAGGCAACCAAAAATTTTAGATAAATTAGACTTCATTGAAATAAAAAGTATTGTGCTTCTAAGAACACTACCAAGAAAGTTAAAAGACAACCAGCGAAACCAGAATATATAAAGAACTCCTAAAATTCAATAACAACCAAGGCAATCAAAAATGGGTAGAGGATCTGGATAGTCATTTCTGCAAAGAAAATATACAAATGGCCAGTAAGCACATGGAAAGATGCTCAGCATGGCTAATTATTAAGAAAATGCAAGTCAAAACCACAATGAGATAGCACTTCAAACCCAGTGGGATGGCTACTATGAAAAAGACCCCAAACAAAAAAACAAAAATCAGAAAATAACAAGTGCATTCCTAAAGGAAATATAAAAAGGTGCACCTACTGTGGATAATGCAGTGGCTCTCCCCCCAAAATTAATTAGAATTACAATATTATCCAGAAATTATACTTCTAGGTAA